AACCATGCGTAATTCTCACAGAACTTTCCCTTCTGTGTCTGTTTTCAGCTGAGATCTTAGCTACTGACTTGAGCTTTACAGCTGTACATTGAGCTGCTTTCCCGTAATCACGTTTGTAGCTCCCCCGTGAACCTTTCCCTCTCTGCTCCTTTTTGATAAAGGGTTGTGAAGAGAAAAGCTGTCTCCAGCTATTCGCAGTGCAGCACATAATTTTAAATTAATAATTCCCCATTAGCCTCACAGGCCAGATGCTAGGTATAGTGGCATCAATCCTCCCCCATAAAATAATCTCCAAATAAACATCTCTGCCCTTAAGTACATATTCAATAGGTTTCTAAGCACACATCAAACCGGGGTTCAACAGAAAGGCAGGGGAGATTCCCTCTGCTCTTGCCATTGTTTCTTCCAACACTAGGGAGGGTGCTGGTCCTCATAACATTGAGAGAAGTGAGAAGAACCTTGGCAGAGTAGCAAAGACAGAAACTCTTCCAGAAAAGCTCCTTATTAGAAGGAACATTCATAAATGAGGCTACGGTAACACCTTTTACTCCTTCTGCTGAATCATGATTTCTTCCTGCCATTGACAGCAGCAGAGGAAACAGAAGTCAGTTCCCAGTTAGACATCAGACATACATGATTTCACCTGTATTAGGGTAAAAAGGAAAAAAAGAAGGAAAAGAAAAAAGAAAAGGAAAAGGAAAAAGAAAAGGAAAATAAAAAGGAGGGGGAAAGGAAAAGGAAAAGGGAAAAGGAAAAGGAAAAGGAAAAAGGAAAAGGAGAGGAGAAGGAAGGGGAGGGGAAGGCAGGGAAGGGAAGGGGAAAAGTTAAGACCAATAAATTAAATAAATATTGTCCTGATTGACTGATCCCTTACAGGTATCTGGGCTTGGTTTTGTTTTGTTTTAACCTGACAAACCTCTCTCCTTGTCATTTCACACTTGGTTTCAACGTAGCTACAAAGGTGGAGATGGCAATTCTGCTGCTGTACGGATCTTGACACTGCAAGTCCTGAGAAAAATGCTATCCTCCCAGGGACTGCTGTCAGAAGAGATGCAGTAACTTCTGTGATTTCCTCTCGTAGAACCAACTTGGTTTGCGACACAGGGTCACTGCTGCGGGAATTGCAGAGACGCTGGAGTGCTGTACAACACTACCCCCTTGTGATTTCTCTTGTTACAACACTTTCTTAACCGCATTTTTTCCAGACTGACTATTTCACATGGAAGATTCCCTCAGAGCACGAATCCTACTATTAAACAGCCTCTTTCCCCAGTGAGAACTGAACAGTACTATTTGATACATACACAAACATTTTGGTTTTATTGAATACCTCTTTTCCTGTTCCTATAACCTTGTATAATTATTGTATGATTCTGTATTTGCTGTTTCAGGAACTTGAACAGATCTGGTGTTTACACCTCTGCCAGCACATGTTGCATTTCCTCTCTAAATGCAGAGTTCAGTGCAGAAATTTCAGACTTGCATGTACATCTTTTCTATCATCTTGCATTTATTTGAGCTGCAGAAGACCAAAGCCAAGCTGCTTTAGTTGATTGACAGCATCTTTGCCCACACAGTTCATGGCTGGGCTCTGAAGAGATCACAGCTCAGCTACAGCAGCTGATGAAGCCCTGGGGAGATGCCAGTTCAGCTTCTGACCCAGTACAGGTGCACAAGTACAGCATCAAAAGTGCTAAAGCTGTGGACATTTAGCAGCAGCACTGCTTGAGCTGGGTTCACAAATCTCCACATACCAGGCACTTACTCATACCCTACCTCTACTCTTCAAGCATCACTAACAAGACATGGAAATCAGCACAGAGATCCCTGATCTCCATCGTGAGGTGCAGGCGTTCTCTTATACCCAGCTGTCAAAAACCAGCAAAGTTGGATGCTAGTCCAGAAGGTAAGGGGAGGCAGGGTCTAACGTAACAGCAACAGCAAGGCGTACTGGGTGCAAAAGGTGAGGACAGCAGGGCAGCCTCACTGCCAAAGGCACAGCCATCAGTACCCAACAGACATGCTTTTGTGACAGTGATCAGGTTCAGCTGAGAGTCCAGATCACTAGGCAAGTCCATGGCAAAGTTGCAAGAACAAGCAGCCACAGTCATGCTGGTCAGCCATTGACTGCGCTATCTCAAACCTGTCCCTGAGCCCAAATGGGCAAACCCCTGGGAAGGGGGATGTCCCCAGGACAGTAACACTGATGAGGCCTATGAAAAACTCTCCTTTGTCTACTTGAAAACTCAGATTAAAAAAAAACTAAATTATTTTTGACTTGGACAAGTGGAAATGAAAAAGTTTTATTGTTGCTTTGCTGCTGAACTCAAGAGTTTAACAAACACAGTCACTGTTACATGCTGGTTAACTTTTAAAAAGCATCATTGCTGATTAGTGAAGAACAATGGAGAATGTTTTAGTTGAAGGAACTCTACTTCCATGTCAAACACTCATGTCAAAATACTTCCCCTTCTTTGAAAAGAAAAAAAAATAAAAAGAATGCTTCTTTGTTAAGCATTGACCTACTGCTACAGTTTATTGCCCAGATTAAATGCAACTCTAAGGAATCTAAGGAATAAAATTACCTAAAGCTATTTTTTTTTTTTTTTAAGGTGCCAGTTCTGGTTCAGAATGGCTGTTTAAAAAGCAGCTGTTGTTATAATAAAGACAAGAAATAAGACAACTAACAGGCATAGTGGCCATAGGACACCTTCCACCTAACTTCAGAGAGTGATGGTGGGGGTATCTATCTGAGATTAAAGTAATTATGCTGAAGTCCCTTTATTTAATGGGATGATGACACTTCCAAAGCACAATTCACCTGACTTTCTTTAGAAATCTACTTTAGGATGAGCTTAATCCCAATACAGAAGTGCCTTTTTCTCCCCCTTAACATTAAGAGGAATCAAAGGCACCAGCTTAGAGGTGTCTGTCTTACTGTCCTGGGTTTAGCAGTAGCAGTAATTTTTCTCTTTCTTGGTAGCTGGTGCAGTGCTGTGTTTTGACTTTCGGGCTGGGAACAGAGCTGATAAAAATGATGTTTTGGTTTGGCCAAGGACTTTGTGAGCCTCATGCTCTGCCAGGGAGGAGGGAAGCTGGGAGGAAGCAGAGACAGGACACCTGACCCAAACTGACCAAAGAGGTATTCCATACCACAGCACGTCATACCCAGGAGGTAAATGGGAGAGTTACCCAGAAGGGCTAGGGAACTGCAGGGTTGGAGGAGGTATCGGTCGGTGCTTGGTCAGGCTGGGGGGGGATGAGTTATCGGTCACCTGGTGAAGAGGTGTTGTATTCTCTTTCCTTGTTATTTCCTTTATCATTACTATTATTGGTGGTAGCAGTAGTGATTTGTGTTATACCTTAGTTACTAAACTGTTCTTATCTCAACCCGTGGGAGTGGCATTCTTTCTGATTCTCCTCTCTGTCCCTCCAGGAGCAGGGGGAGGGCAAGAAGGGGGGGGCGGGGGGGGAATGAAAAGCTGTCTGGCTGGGGTTAAACCACGACACTTACCTATATCTACCTTTGGTTAAATAGATTCTAGCTACGGACAGTGAACTGTTAAAATCAACATCAGAACTAGTACTTTCTCAGTTTGGAAGTAGTTCAACAGGTACTGGAAGTGGAATACAAAATCTTACTAGTGTGTTAGAGAGCACACAAGAGAGGCTTTTTTCCAATGTACCTGTCACGTTATTGTAGGTAACACAGTGCTTTTATGCTAAGTCAGATCATCTTCACCCTCTCTAACGTTTGCTGGCACTGGATCATCTTCTTAACACAGATATCACCCTAACATATGGCTCAGACACTCTCAATCACACTGCTGCAACACGACAAATGAGAGCAGAATTTCAGTCATCCCTACACGGATGAGACATTTGTTTGTTCTTTCTGTTTGAGCTACCCAAAAGCAGTGAACTTAACAGCACTGCCAGTGGCAGAACAGTCCCAATCAGGTCCTCAGGTGTTCTTTGGTGCCTGAAAAAACACAGAACCCCATTGAAGCCTTGAACAAAACTATGTATGCAAACAACTTTGCAGAGCAGATAGATGCATCTAAAAACAGATCTGCAGAGCAATTGCAGGACACATAAAGCCAGCATGAATAGAGGTAATATGCATTAATCTTGCTGAATGAAGCTTCAGAAAGCTCCAATTTATGGAGCTTTTTAGCTCCATAAATCTAAAAGGATCGAGACTCATTTAATTCTCAAAATTTAAGTATTTCCGTCATGAATTACTTTGACTAAAAACCTTATAATTCACTCACTTTCAATCAGGTATTTTACTCTTTCCCTACTTTACTTCAGAAGTCAGCAATTCGTAAGTGGAAAACTGTAACCACACAGCCTATTTTCTTCCTAATTAAACAGTCCTAATTAAAGGACATGCAGAGTAGTTGCTGGATTTTCCTTTTAATTCCAGACCTGTCACTTACTTGAAAAATAACTGTAGCAAATAAAAATGAGCAAGTCTTACAACAGTCCTGCAAAGTTTTCATGTAAGAAAAGGAAAAACCCACTATGCTGGATTTTGAGGGGCCATGCATGTGTGTTAATAGTTGCGGCTGTTCAGCCTAAAGAGAAGGCTGCATGAAGACCTCATAGCAGCCTTCCAATATCTGAAAGAGGCCTGCAAGGGTGCAACAGAGGGACTCGCCATCAGGGACTGTAGCACTAGGGAAAAAGGTAATGCATTCTAACTGAAACAGTTTCAGCTTAGATGTAAGGAAGAAGTTCTTTACTGTGAGGGTGGTGAGGCACTGGTACAGCTTGCCCAAAGAAGTGATAAATACTCCCATCTCTGGCAGTGCTCAAGGCCAGAATGGACAGAGCCTTGGGTGACATTGTCTAGGGTGAGGCGACCCTGCCCACGGCAGAGGGGTTGGAACTAGATTATTTTAAGGTCCTTTCCATGAATCTCTCATTCTGTGGAGCTGACCATCAAGCAGAGCCCCAGAACCCTTTCCACAGCGCACACCCTCACAGACACAGTGTTTGCATGTTACACAAGAGATTTATTGGCATCTTTGCACAGGGGAAAGCTCCCAGAGGGAATGGACCCTATTAAAGAGGAAGGTCAGTCACTTTCCAAGCAGTAACATTGTGGCCACAGCCAGTGAGAGGAGAAAGCAGGGAGCAAGTCATCTTTGTCACTGCTGTAGTCGTCAACGGCTGCTATCTCAAAACCACTGAGAAGAGAATGCTGCTGCTCTTGGCAGAGGTCCACTGTACAAGGTTCTTCCTTTCCTTGCAGTGTCCTGCACTCTGTCCTTCATCTCCCTCCTGCATGAGGTGGTCCTCATCCGTCCTCAGCTATGAACACTGCAAACACAGCTGTGTGTATGAAGACCACCTTCAATGCTCCTAGAAGAGCTGTGTTGTAAGCTGATGTTATAGTTCCGCAAACTCATGCACTGTCTGCTCATGGGCAGCCAGATCCTGTACCAGATACTGGAAGAGGTTGAATGTCTTGGCTCTTTGCAAGGCTGGGGGCAAGACAATCTCCCCAGGAATCTTCTCATTCCCAAAGAAGAAGTGACTGGCTTCAGCCCACAGAGGGGCTCCAGGCACATGAGCTGCCAGCAGATAGGGTCATCTTCCTGGGGACTCCAGCAATCAGAGGTGCTGCCCCCCTGATGGTTGGTGCCAGCTCCAGGAAGAAACCCTTTGTCAAGAAACTAGACCACTGGCAAGCAACAAGAAGGTTTTCCACCAGTGCCTCCACTAACTCACTCTGGTTTCACAGTTTGTCCACTGACCGTTTGCTGTGCATTGTAACATACATGTCCAAATCTGTTGCCTCAGCAGCATCTTTTTCTTCACCGTCTTCCTCCTCTTTGCTGCTGCTGCCCACCTCATGGCCCCTTTTCCTAAGCCACCAGCAGAGCCAATCAGGAGGAGCAGGATGCCAGCAATCAACCAGAACTGCCAGGTCCACAAGACAGCAAAGAGCAGGGCTCTCCAGGTCACACGATCCTGCTCCTTGCTCCTCTGCTCCTGGATCTTCTGCTCCAGCTCTTGCAGCATCAGAGCCATCTCCTCCATAAGCATCTCCAAACACTGCTGCATGTGGTCATGTGTGGCTTCACCCAGATCATCACAGACCATGAGCATGTTCGAGAATATGCTTTGCAGAACCCAGAGTAAGAGCTTTGTGTGAGCCATGGCCTGCAGGAAAGAGAAGGAATTCAGAGGGGCTGGGAGGGAGGGAAAGAGGAAGGGAGCTGGTGGCGGGGTGAGTGGGCACAGGAGCCACAGATAGCTGGGGACAGGCAGGAGAGGGAACGAGGCAGCTGGGAGGCAGCAAGGCCTGCACCCAGGATCGGTGGCAGCAGCAGTGTGCCCTGTGAGCCTCCATGATGCAGGGTGGACACCCACCTCCAGGGGACCACGTTTCTGCCTCGGCCCTTGTCCAGCCCAGCCTCCCCCCTGCGTGTACACTCACCAATGGCCCAGGTATACAGGGATGCTGGAAAGGGCCTCCTCATCAGCCAATAGGACAAGTGGGAATGCATTCAAACTAAAACAGAGGAAGTTCAGGTTAGATACGAGGAAGCTCTTTGCTTTGGGGTGGTGAAGCACTGGAAGAGGTTGCCCAAAAGTGGTAGATGTTCCATCCCTGGCAGTGTTCAGAGTGAGGGTGAAGAGCCTTGGGCAACATGGTTTAGTGTGAAGTGTTCCTGCCCACACCAGGTGGGTTAGAACTGGACAATCTTAATGTCCTGTCCAACCCAAACCATTCTGTGATTCTATGATTATTGCTGAGGCATCTACTAGTGTGTTCTTAAAACAGAGATTATTTAATGCACAACACCAGAGATACCTTTGTGTTTACTTCTTTCAGCCTTGCCAAGTTTCTGCTGTTATCAGTTGCACAAGAGAATCTAAGGCCTGCCTTTGCCTATTCAGATGAGGAACCACGACTCACACTGCTTTTGAAAGCAAGAGCCGCAACTCCTGCACTTTCCTCTGACCTGCAAGAGTCACCAGAACACTGCTGGCATTGTTCTTGTGGGCAGCACCTCTGTCCAGCTGGGAATGGGTTGATCAAAGCACAAACACCGATGGAAGCGTCTCCTGGGGTGTGAGGGCAGGAGAGGCAGCAAAGGTAGGCGTTCGAGGGCAACGGTGCAGCTGCCGTAGTATTCATAGATTCAACCGGTGAAACCTGCGTTCACCAGCACCGGGGCTGCGGCCTAGGGCGGGCGGAACCCAAGGCCCAAGCCGGACCCCAGTGCCGGTTTCACCCGGGCAGGCTGCGAGCCCCGCAGCACCCGCAGGAGCGGATGCCGCTGAGCCGCGCAGGCTGGGCGGCCGCACGCTGAGGGGCAGCGCTGCCAGCTCCATGTTCCGCCCGCGTACTCCGCGCGGTCGCCCCGCCGTCGCTAAGCCTCACCGCCAAGGGAGGAAGTGTCGTAACATCTGACAGGAAACTTGGCCGCGTGTTACGGCAGCGGCGGCCGCGCTTGGCGGCCGCTGGATGAGCGGAGAGTGGGAGCCGCGGCGCTGAGGAGACGCGGGGGTGAGTGGCCGTGGGGGCAGGTGGGGAGGTCGCGGGGCGGCGGGTGGTCGCCCGGGGCTCATGAGGGACTGGGGAAAGGCCTTTGCAGCGGTGGCGGGGGGAGCGGGGCAGCAGGCAGAGGCGGCGGCGGGGCGGCGAGGCGGGGCCCGGGCACCGTTTCTGCCTTTGTTCGCGCCCCCCCCCCCAACCCCCGTCTCGACTGTGGCCCATGAGGCCGCCGCTTTCTCTTCTCGGCCCCGTCTCGTCTGATGCCCTCCTCCTCGGTGAGTTTGTGTCGGTCTCTCCCGTAGGATATGGCCGAGGTACCGCCGGGGCCTAGCAGCGTACTCTCCCCCCAGGGGGACACGCTCTCCCCCTTCCCCGGAGGAGGAGGAGGAGGGGGGACTGCTTCCTCCTCCTCTTACACCTTTTCTGCTGCCGCCGCCGCCTGTACCGGGGCCCAGGACGAGGAGGCCGAAGAGGAGGAGGAAGAGGAGGGACCCGCGGGCGGACTGGAGCAACAGCGAGGAGGAGGAGAAGGAGGCACCGACGGAGGCAAAGGGGGGCAGCAGCACCGCCACCACCATCATCATCCCCCGCACCACAACCACCAGCTCAACGGCCTCATCAGCCCCGAGCTGCGGCATCTGCGGGCCTCCCTCAAGGGCAAGATCCTCAGCTCGGAGGCAGGGGTAGCTCCGGAGGGGCTGGAGAACAAGCGAGCCAGCAAAACAATGGGCTCTGGACAGCAGCAGCAATCATCACCCCCAACCACAGCACCGTGCTCATCCTCCCTTACCAACCACCTCCCTCCTCAGGGAAGGACTGCACCCTCTCCTCCTCCTTCTCCTCCAGCAGCAGCAGCAGCAAGAGAGGACAGTAGCCAGCCTGCCGCCACAACTACGACTGCTGCTAAGACTGCAGCCGACAGTGGACTGGCAGAAGGGACTGGCTTGGAGGAGGAAGAGCAGGAGGAGGGGAATAAAGGAGGGGAGCAGGAGGAGGCCCTGCTGCTACTCTCCGGGTCCTTAGCAGCAGCTTGTAGTTTGAAAGGCTCGGAAACGGACTCTCAGCCCGAGGAGGACATAACGATACGATACGTCCAATATGAGTCAGAGCTGCAGATGCCCGATATCATGAGACTGATCACCAAAGATCTGTCTGAACCCTACTCCATTTACACATATAGGTATTTTATCCACAACTGGCCACAACTTTGCTTTTTGGTAAGTGCCAGAGGGGGAAGGGAGGGAAGGAATTGGGAGTGGTTTGGAGCTGGGTGGGAGAGGATTGAAAGGTTGACATTTGTGGAAATGCTTCTAATAATCTTTGTGGGTAAGGCCAAGCTTTTTTTGACCTACTGAAGTTTCTTTGTGACTTGTGCATGTATAAGTAAAGCATGCACCTAAAGTTCCTAAGTTGTTAGTTTTAGGTGGTAAGGAAAGGATTTGAGACCAGGGTTAGGATCCAGGAATTCAAGGCTTCTAGTCTTGGTTTTGACATTGACTTTTGTGACCTTTGGTATCTCATTGTATCGTTCTTTCACAGTTCTGAGGTGTGTATTTCAAAAAGAAAGTACTTGGTCTACTAGTGTCTTATGTTGCCTAGTAAATCTTGCACAGTAGTTCTAAAACAGACTTGAGTATGGCTAATATAAATGCTCAGTAATACATGGAGGAACATTGTGAAAGGTTTTGTAGGCTTTTTGATCTGTGACCTTACTTTGTAAAGAGACAAGTACAACTGTATTGCTTTTTACAGGTGAAAGTGTATGCAGCATTCAGAAATTCTTGTGCTGCTTAGATTGTCTTGCTGTACTAACAATGTGTTTAGTTTTATATTCTTCCTATTGCACTATTGTAAAGACTGATCTGGCTGTCACCCTGTCTTCCTAAGTATTTAACAAATCTCATGGAAGATCTCGTGTCTCAGTTCAAAAGCATGCTTTCAGGATGATAATCCATCCAGAGGTATATAAAACTGAGTATGAATTGACCTGAGGAGTACACATGCACAGTGGGAGTTCAGCTGTGTTTGATTTATTCATAGAAAAATGTAGATCTGCAAAACAGAACATTTATGGGAGTGTGTGACACTTACTTGCTGTGGTAAATGATGAAGTCTTCTCTCTTGATGTTTTAATCAAGGCTGGACACCTTGCTGAAAGGTATGATTTAGCCAGAACCAAACCACTCTTCAATTCAGGAGCATCTCTGTGAAATTTTAATAGGATATGAATACAGGAGGTGAGGCTAATGGAATCCATCTGGCCTTAAACTTCCTGAATGTTCTTGGTTTAGGGTTGGGTATAATTTATAGCAGGAATTCTATGATTAATGGGAGGATTTTCAGAACTGTGCCTCTTAAAACCCTGAAGAGGGAATATAGTAGGATTATAGTAAGTTGAGCAAAGCATTACCTTCCAGAACAAAATAGGAGTACAAAAATATTTGCAAACACTGTTTGATGCAAAGTCATGTTTGCCATTATAAAGATGCCAATCAGAGCAGAATGGTATTTTTTTAAGCATAGAGCTATGTGTGACTGATTTACCTCTATTGAAAATAAATGCTTTTGAGCAACAAATGTTCATACTTTCCTCATCAAGTGTGTTGCTGGTAAAGTCGAGGTAATGTTGGATACAGTTAGATCACAATGCATTTTCTTAGATATTAAATCTTTAGGGGTTTTTTGTCAGGGAGTAACTTGAGAATTTTGTAAGGAAACCGCAATGTCAACTTGTTTGATAGAGCAATGTATCAGAAGTGCATTCAAAGAATAAGGTGTCACTCAAAGAAAAGAAGGTATCTTTAAGCTTATTTTGTAGTGACAGCTTCTCTTAGTTTGGTTTGGTATTTTTATTATTGTTGTGTTTTGGGGGAGTTTGTGGTTTTTGTTTTTTTTTGATACCCTTGATGAATCAACAAAGCTTTACTTGAATTCTGTATTTGCCCCCCCTTTTTTTTTTAAGGGTGGAACAATGTACAGTACATAAAACTGTAGAGAAGAATATGTGACTATGAATGACTAAAGCTAGCTGATTGTTATTACTTAATAATTTGAAGGTCTTGCCATACGTTGAGTCAAATTTGATGGACTTTTGTGACTGGTTTTGGTATTTTTAAGGTTTGTTTTTTAGAGATTGTCTTGAAGACTTTCTGTTCTATAAAATTTAATTATTCGTGCTGCTAATGGATTCCTGAACTTCTACTGTTTAATAAGTCTCTTTAAAATATTTATCTTCCGTCAGGGACTGCATATTCCAATTAGCAAGAACAGTGGCAGGATACTGAGCAGAAGCATAGTGCCTGGTCTCACAGAATCATTTTTCTTTAGTGCCTTGTGTCCTCAAACCCTTCTGGTTCCAGGTTTTGATTGCTTTTTGGGAGAGGGGTTACACTGCAATTTTGATTGCTTTTGAAAAATATATCTGTAGGGATCCAGCTAATTCCTTTACTGAATTTCATCATCACCATTTTTAAAATCCTCCAGTGTATGCTCACGTATCTTCACTGCACTGTCATGGGCTCCTTTCACCTTCTCAGCATGTGAGGGGAAAATTCTAACACCATTTAAATTGAAGATGGGATGTGTAATTTCTGTAAATGATCACCAGTTGTTCCTTGCTGACGTTTATTCACTAAGCCTCTTAAACACCATAATTTTCCTATCTAGCATTTTGGCTACCTGACAATGCGGAGCTGTTTTCTGAGGGCATTGTGAACATTATTCCTGGCAATGATTATCTCATGGGTTTGAAACTTGCTGAGTTTTGGCTTGCCTTCTCAAGGTGCACTATTGCTAGAGCAACAGAAAGGGCTGCTTGCATTTCCTTTTTGTTCAACTACCTCTTGTGTTTCTCTGATTTGGGAAGTTAACACAGCCCTCCCACAACCAACACATATTTATGAGTATGTGCATGTATGTATTTTAGGGTCAGGTTTTTGTTCATTTAGGGCTCCAAATAAATTCCTAGCAGGATGTCACGGTGCAAGATACGAGAATGCACAACTGGAGGGAAAGCACAGTACCAACCCTTACTTTTTAGTTACTCCCGTGTTCTGCTGTATCAAACTGCATCCTAACTACACTCAAGTTCATATTCACTTTAAAAGCACCTGCAGATACTAGGAATCTTCAAAACCTCTTCATTTTAACATAAAATTCATCCAAACTGTCTTCCTCGCTTTATGGTAACGAGTTGGGAATACTTGATGATCAGTTCTGATATGTTACACTGCAGCATTACTGACTGAGATGTTGCAAGGTAAAAACCTTATTTGTAAACTGCAACTGTCTACTTAAACTCCGGTTTCACCTGTCTTTGGAAAAGCAGGTTTGTGCTGTGTGCTAGGTATGGGCGCTCTTTAAGTGGCCAGTTTTTACTTATTCTCTGGAGCTCAGTCAGCCCAGTTTCTCTTCTATGCTAACGACTCTTCTGTCAAAAAATGATCCCGGAAAAGGGGATGTTTTGTTTTACATGAAGCATTTTCAAGCCTCACTACAACTTTGTCCCCATATGGATTGTGAACACTTTCTAAAAATTGTAGCTTCCTTTTAAAGTGCTTTGTGGCTTCTAGTCCTGTCAGCATTGAAGTTCTGAAACTTCCATTTAAAACTGATACCTTAAATGTTTCAGAAACTTGTTTTCAAAATACTTTACCGTGGGAGAGGTGAGCTTAGGAAACCTTGCTCTGTGCCAAAGTTCGGGTAAGACAGGACGTAGTAAAAGCAGAGTTCTGGCGGAGTGTTGTAACCTTTCCTGTCATTCACAGTGCTGCACCACTTGACTACCTTTTAAGAAAAAAGTCCGTGCTTCTGGGTTCATAACTTTGCCACTAGCCATAGCAGCATTTATAATTTAAGCTTTCACAAGTTTTAAAGTAACCTATTAATACCATATAAGTGGTTTTAGATGTGTTATAATCCTAAATGACTGCAGTTAAGATCTTGTTTTATACTAATGCTTTT